GTAGTTACCATGCCAGGTCATTAGATGGCGCTGTGAATTTTGTACCTTCAGGTAATGCGCATGCGGCACACGCCTTTCCTGTGAGCTAAACAGCTCAGCTAACAACAACAACGTAGCGACAAGTTAAAGCTGTATTTTGGACAAGAGTCGACAGATTTAACACCAAGCGGGACCGCTTCGTCTAACAGCTCCACACCGGTCGCTGAGTGGACCAGAACCGAGTCGACGATGTCGAACTTTACTCCGTGATCATCAGTAGCTGGTTTACAGCAGGTAAATCAAATGTTCTTAATAATGCTAGTTTGTGTTTACTTTGATCACACAACAACAGAGTTTTTATTTTTTCCTGAAAGAAGAAGAAGCTGTCCTCCCACCAGGCGGACCGGTTCTGAATGAGGCTCGGCCCAGGTGCAGTGAAGGAGGACGTTGAAGAGAGATGTTGGATGAACTATTTATTTAAACTTCCCCTCAGTTCTTTTATTCAATCCATTAAATGTTTTGAGCTGCATTAATCAAAGCAGTGACAGCCTGAACGAGCCAGATGAACAACGTGGGACATCCAGGATGAAAACAAGAGTCCAGTTCATTCATGCAGTTTACTGTTAACATGTTTTAATAGTGTGTTCAGTTAAATTATCAGTGTTTGTGTGACATACAGTTTGTAGTGTTGAATAAATAAATAAAAATTAAACCTGATGTCTTCATTTTCTACTTTAGTGTTCACGCTTTATGTTTAGCATCATTTTAAATTTGAATTCCATAATGTCCAGATAGCTTCATTTAGCTCAGAGCTTCATTATCTCTCACACTAACATAAATACTGTTTATTATTAATAAACTGTTGTGATTTAGCACATTTAGTATGTTCTAGTGCAGCGCGACGTGTGCACGTGCCTCGTTCTATAAACAGCGACATTAGAACTGGATCAGACTGTGTCTCTTCCAACACAGATGTTGGTCACAGCAGCTGTAATCTGACGTAGATTAACTACGAGATTAAAAATATATTCCATCAGTCGAGTTTCTGAAAGCAGTGTGTCGCTGCCATGCTGATAGAAATATAGCGTCTGTCTGCGTGTGCGTGTGCGCATGTGGTTTAACACAAAGCCTCAGCGGGAGATGTTACATCATCAGCAGGGGGTCAGAGAAAAACCTCCACCCTGGAAGGTGGATTCAGAAACATCTGGATTCAAAGAGGGGGCCACTGGTGTCGTGTAGACGATCAGCAGAACCTCAGAGAGAAAGCTGCAGATGCTCTCAAAATACGTGCCGTGTAAACGGCCTCTTAGTTTTTGGATTCATATCTGTAAACAGAACGTTGTAAAAAAGTTTTGTAACTTGTGATTTTTTTTTATTTTTATAAAAATCTTTTTTACACATACAAGTTCTTTCTACAAGGTCACAAATCTTTTTTACATTTGCAAAATATTTCTTGGCTGGAATTTGAGCCCAAAGTTTTCTAAAAAAACAAACAAACAAACAAACAAACAAACAAAAAACAGCTCTAAACTAAAGTTCATAAACTTTTTAATGCTATTTTTTTCACAAGTTTTCTAGACTGTAAATGTGGAACATTATTTATGTTAAAGTCATTAAAATGAAAAGAGTTAACTTTTGTTTCTGCAGCTCCACGTTTATAATAGAAAAATAAATCTTTAAATGTTGTCAGGAAGGCCAGGTAGCAAATAACTGCTTTGATGATGAAATCTTCTTTTGCTGCAGACACTAATCTCATGAATATGGAGCTGTTTGTATCCTGCTTGCTGTTGGAAAGGTCAAAGCATCTCACTTCACTGATGCTGATCAATATAACTCAGTTTTTAAGTTTATCCTCACTGTCTGGACAGTTTTTCTACAAATGATTGTCCCGTCAGAGTTCTCTAAAACTTTTCCTCTCGTCATCATTAGGGACTGACAGAGGAGCAATTAAAATCCAACACCTCCGAGAAACTTGCTGATTTATCAATCTTTAGAAGAATTAATTAAACACAGTTAGCAGAAACACTGGATTTGTTTATCTGAGGTAGCTTTAACTTATTATTAATATTTTAATTTTATGACCATAGATTGCGTTTTTTTGTTTGTTTGTTTTTTTAAAGCCCCTCCCAGATTTGGACCCCTCATATGCCGCCCCGGTCCGAGCTCCGCCTACTGAGGTGTCACTCAGTGATGATGAAGATATCGAGGAGTCCTCTGGAGAAGACTTTGAGACGACCACTGTAAAAGGTTTAATAGTAAAATTCAGTTAATTCATTAAAGATGACTGGAAACAGTTTGTATTTTCATTTTTGTTGTAATTCCAACTGTAGCCAGCAGATGGTGCTAAAACAGTGTTCTTGATGTTACTCTTCTCAAATGCTACAACCTAATTTTTCTCATTCCTCTATGTTCCACCGAACATCACAGTTTTCTCAGAACAAATATTTTCTTCTACCTACAACTAAAAGTATATATTTAATGTTTTTTGTACTGTTTCTTCACAGTGAGATCATTTACGACAAGCGCCCCGGCCCTCAGGCCTGACCCTGTAAGTTGGCCGTTGCTCTCTTTAAACAGCTTGCGTTGTATAATCTACATCTGTGCAGTTGTTTAGCATCAAACTTGCAGCCAACACCCTGTAGTGTAACAACGTCCCAGTTACCGAGAGCTGAGACTCTGCCCCATTTAAACTTCTGGCTTCATGAAGACTTTTCGTAAAATAAACTGTGCCGCTGGCACTATGTTTACCTCCCCCAGGTCTTCAGAGCACAAAAAGGTGAACGAGGGGAACCAGGTCCAGCCGGCCCCCCAGGACCTCCTGGTTCTCCAGGAAAAGACTCAGGTGTGAGAGGGGAGCCTGGACCACGAGGTCCACAGGGACCTGCGGGATATCAGGGGCTCCCTGGACTTCCTGGGACACATGGACAACCAGTGAGTTCTGTTTGCTTGTTTGTTTGCTTTGCAGTAGAGATGCTTCTATTCTTAGCAACACTTTCTGTTTTCAGAACATGAGCTTTTATTAGATCAGCTTTCTGTTGTTTATAAGGCCTAAGGGGCAGAGAATATGATGATGGATTGGTTTTCTATTTTTATCTGTTCCTTAGGGAAGTAAAGGTGAACCTGGTCTCCCAGTAAGTAAAACTTTTCTACTTTCTTTGATTTTTCCTTTCTTTGGGTCTCACACACAGCTATCACTTTAGAAAGCTACACCTCATGTTCTGACCAACACAACATGCTGATCTTGTATTTGTACTGGCTCGTGCTGTTCCATGTCGTTATATCTCATGCCTGATGTAGCACTAAGCATGGCTGGGACCCTCTTTTTCCCAGGGACCAACAGGATTCCCTGGAGAACAAGGAGAAACTGGTCCTAAGGGAGAAAAGGTAAATTGTAACACCAGTTTGTTAATTGGAAAATCCTAATCAGAGTGACCCCAATATTTCTGTAAGGTGTTCAAAGTAAACCAAAGTAGGTCCTGTTTTGTTCTTTCTTAGGGTGATCCTGGTGTTGGACGACCTGGTCCTCCTGGTCCTCCTGGCCCTCCTGGTCCTCGTAGCAAGTCTTTCATGGCCCTGGTCAGTTCTAAGACAAACCTCATCTTTATTCCCATGGAACTTATATAATTTATGAGTGAGGTAGACCCATAAATCCTAATGTGAAGCAGTGGTTCCACTGTTTATATGGTATGTTTTCAACAGGAGGGGTCTGGATTTGAAGACTTTGACAGTGATGCAGAAATTATCAGGGTAAGTAAAGCTAACTGTTGGCTCGTCAAGAAGGCTATTCATCTGCCGGCTGGTGGGCCACTTCTGGCCTGCAAATGAGTTCATTAATACAATAATAATTGAAAAAAAAAATGGCCAGAACAAATCCATAAGAGAGACAGATAAAACATTTGAAATGATAAATCTTTCAGTCAGAGAGGCAAGCCTGTTATGTGCCCATCTCAATTTTCAGCATTATCATGAAAATACAGAAGAACACTTGAAGAAGAGCATCATCTCCACTGTGAGCGTTGACTTACACAGCTCAGTGCCAGTCCCGACTGGGCATCACTGTTACAGTTGCATTCGGGCACAAAAAATCCAACCCGACCCGGCCCCAGCCCGTAGTCATCATTTCCAGACCCCACCCGACCCAACAAATTAACAATAATTAGAGGCCATCAAAGCGCATTAAATCCCTGCTTCTGCCTGCATTCTGCATTATTCAGACATGGACCCTGCTCTGACATGCTTGCTTTGGGATCTCACTTGTTTAGGTCGTCGGCCACGCGCATCCGCTGAGTGCAGCGACTGAATGTCCATTTGGACGATGGATTGCTTCCTGGCAGTAGCGGTAGTCCCATCTGAAGCTTAACTCAACTTTATTTTACCTCTTTCAAGGCCGGTCAGCTCGCGGTGATAAGGCCACATGCAGCTGGTGAAAAAATGGCAAACCATGTCGCCATATAGTTGGATGGTATAGCAAGTCATGTTGCCATATAATTGGATCATCAGCTGCACATCTACTGACAGAATCAAAAGCCCGACACCAACCCGGTCCGCACATCCAGCACATTACTGTGGCTCGGCCCAAATTTTGGTTGGACCGGGCTTGGGGTTAGAAATGACAGTTCTAATCACCGTGTGACTTGTCCTCAGGGAGTATACTGCTCAATCACTCAGTGATTTCCCCCAATACGTACCAGGAACAACCTCTGACTCATGGTGTCAGTTTACAGCCAATAACAGACTTTAACATGAATGTCAACCCAAACCTGAACAGCACATTAAAAAGAACAATCCATGTCCACTCTCAGAAATATCGTACACAGTTAGAAACCTTGTAAACAATCAGAAACGTCATAAACAATCAGAAACATTTCACATATAATTTCCACAAGGCTACCCAGCATCCTTTGCAGTTCACAGTTTCTTTGGGACTCTCTCACAGAAAGAACTTTGTGAGTTTGGTGGAAAGTAAAGTAAAGTTGAAACAGAGATACACATCTTTGCTTTAATCTGGGGCCTATAAATATTTGTGTTTTGGTGTAAATAATATTTAATAAGAAGAATTAAATTAGCAGAAACATGAGTCAAAAGGAGGCAGCACGGTGGCACAACTGGTAGAGCTGCTGCCTCCCAGCGAGCAGGTCCCTGGTTCAAACCCCGGTCCAGGGGCCTTTCTGGGTGGAGTTTGCATGTTCTCTCCGTGCATGCGTGGGTTTTCTCCGGGTGCTCCAGTTTCCTCCCACAGACCTAAAACAT